TGGCACGCGGGCCTCTTGTATAAACTAATCCAAAAGAGCTTCCCTTTTTGGCTTCTAAAACTACTGAAATCCTTCCTTGAAGGTAGGAAATTTCCTATCAAAATTGACAACGTCCTGTCGACAACACGGCTGATTACAGCCGGCGTCCCTCAGGGTTCGGTCCTTGGACCTATCCTTTACTCACTGTACATCCATGACGTCCCTAGTCCCTAGCAACTGTGAAGTCTATCTCTATGCTGACGATACTGCATTGGTGGCTCAGTCGTGGTCTGGTGACCTAGTCCATGACAGGCTGCGAAGTGCGGTGGAGGAAGTATTAGATTGGGCGGATCGGTGGCTAATTAAAATAAACCATTCGAAAACGCAGGCAATCTACTGTACAAAAAGACGTCGCGGCGTTCCGTCTGAAGTTTCAATGAATGGACTTCGTATACCATGGGAATCCTCCGCTATGTATCTCGGTGTCATTCTGGACAAAGGGATGACTTGGCGGAACCATATGGAAGCGATAAAAACTAAATTCCAAATTACGTTTCGGCAGCTTTACCCATTATTATGTAAACGGTCAAAATTAAGTTTGATTAACAAGATTCGACTCTATAAGGTGGTCATAAGACCAGCAATGACTTACGCATGTGCGGCTTGGTGTTTTATTGCTAAAACACACATGCGACATCTGCAGGTTCTGCAAAGCAGGACGTTGCGCACTATTGCTGATGCCCCATGGTATGTCTCTAACGAAACTCTACATAGAGACCTCGATGTCCCTTACCTAAAGGACTACATTAAGCAACAGGCGCAGCGGCGCTATAGCCTAGCGGAATCGCACAGCAACCCTCTGTTGCGTGAGTCAGTGGACTACACAGTCGAGCAAGTTCGCAAGCACAAAAGGCCGCGGCTCGCACTGTAATCAAAATTAAGTCGTGAACTTAGAACAACCAAAATTGGAGCATTTTTACACAATCTTTAGTTGAAAAAAAAATCAAATATATTTAGACCATTCAAAATCTGTGAAGTGATTTTAACAATGCCTAAACGCTGCCTATCCTAAAAGATTCTCTTCTTCCCCTTTGCTCTCGTTCTTCCTTCTCTCCTTTCCTTCCCCTTTTTTCCTTAAAATTGTCTGGTTTCTGGGTTTTCAGACCTGACAGACTTACAAACTGACACTTTGACTCAAGAGCAAAGGTCCCACGGACCGCTCTGAACACCAACGATGACTTGATCATACCGATAGAGTGGTTTTTGTGATATTGTCTGTTCCTACAAAGCAAGTGAGTAAACGATAGTTGTGTTTTCTAGCTACAATTGGCATTTGATTATCGTAGAATACGTCGCGACAAGCTGCTTTGATCTATTCATTAAGCCTAGATGTAAAAAAACCTATAAAACGTCAAGAAAAACCCTATAAACCGTCATCTTGCAGACTAGGTAGTTTTTAGGATGCAAACAGTCATTCCACGTATGCTCACTGGGATCGTTGTGAGAATCCAGCTATGAAAGAATGGCTCAACAACACGCATTGTTGGTTCAATATGTTTTGTGAAGCCAAGTTGTCTATAGTTTTCATTTCTGAGAAGAAAATTGGTTGAATAGCAAGATGTGTATGAAATGATTGATATTTGCTGTGTGAGAAAATCATTACTGAATCTGCTGCCAATGAAGAATATGTATTAGCTATGCCAGACGGATTATTTATATGTTGTCCTTCCTGAAGACAGGTTATGTTCAAAGTTATAAATTACGATTTTTTACGTTTTTTCTTGTGTTTTCAAAAACCTTGAGGAGAATTACGCGGAATCACCGCGCCCACGTTGTGTGTAATTACTTTTGACATCTATATGACTTGTAATTCGACAGTGTACAGTGAATATAATTATTTCTTATCTCTCTCAAAATATATTATTAGCCTTAAAATTCTCACTATGCACCTATGCATTGCCGTTTCCTTCGAGTTACAGTGTACAACTTAAATTTTTAATTTTTTTTTTTTTTTGGTGAGGGGGGAATGCATTTACGCACCTTACCATAGCCCGAGCTATGGCGTGTGTGGTACTCCAGGTTGTCTTGAGGAGACTACTTAATACCCACTAAACCCTAACCTCTGTGTGGCCCGACTCATCAGCGTCTGGGTAAGGCCATGAGTTGTGCGTGACCTACTGTCTGCTACAACGTCTCCTCATGTGTTGCAGTCTCTGGGAACGCCGAATTGGTTCCCTTTACCACGCACATTCTATCGATGTCGTTAAGCGATCATCAATAGGGGGTCTGCTAGGTTCTCTTGAAACTCTTGTTTTAGAAAAATCAAGAGTCCCGGTGGGTCCTGGTCCCGGTGGTTCCACGGCATTCACGCCGTGGAGGGGGAAGGGGAGAGCAACCGCGGGTACTCCTAGTCAAGGTTCCAGTTAGCGTCTGGACTTGGGTCTAGGGTACTTGGCTCTGCGGTTGCGAGGCCTCTCGTCCGGATCGTAGTCCATGAGGAGTCGTTGTTGCTCATACGGGTGGTCCTGAGCTTTCTGGAATGTCTTCTCTGCTTTTTTTCTCATGTACTCGTGGATGGTGTCCCAGTGCAGGTTTCTACGCAAGGTTGAGTTTCTTACGTAGGCTGGTGCACCGGTGGCAATCCGGAGTAGCTTCATCTCTTGAGCAGCAAGTCGCTTGCGGTAGCTGGGAGCAGCGTACCCCCAGACCGCGGAGGCATAAACGAGCTGAGGTCTGGCGATGACCTTGATCAGCCGTAACTTGGTGGCTAGCGGCATCCGGCTGTGTCTACCCAGTAATGGGTAGAGTTTGGCCATGGCTACTCTGGTTTTTGCGATGACAGCTTCTATGTGGGGTTTCCAGGTGAGGGACTTGTCAAATACGATCCCCAGGTATTTAACTTTGTCACTTCACTGGATATCTTCGTCGAAGATGGATGCTTCGGGAGGTCTTGCGATCCTTCTTCGTTGGATGAAGATTGCCTGCGTCTTTTGGACGTTGATGCGGATTTTCCATTTCACGCACCAGTCCTGGATGAGGTCTAGTTCATCCTGTAGTCTACTACGGATGATCTCGGGTCGTCGATGCTTGGCGGCTATAGCAGTGTCATCTGCACATAGCGCCAGCATTGTGTCTGCTGTCTTCGGTACGTCATATGTGTAGATGTTGTACAGCAGGGGGGCTAGGGCTGACCCCTGGGGCACGCCTGCTTCCAGCTGTCTTCTGGTTGAGTGGCATGTACCAATCTTCACCGTGAACCATCTTTGTGTTAGATAGCTCTGGATCAGTTGACACATGTTCTCGTCGATTCCGGCAGCTTCCATTTTGGCGATGAGTCCATCATGCCAAACTCGGTCGAAGGCTCGTTCCACGTCCATCAGGACGAGGCCGGTTGCCTCCTGGAGATTGAAGCCACTGGTGATGTGTTCTGTCAGTCTTAGCGCTTGGAGTTCCGTGTTGTGGAAGGATCTGAAGGCGAATTGCTCTGAGGGGAGAAGTTCTAGGTCTTCTGCCTGCTTCTTTAGTCGAACGGCTATGGCCTTTTCGACAACATTGCCCATCGAGGAAACCAGGCTGATGGGCCGGTAGTTCTGAGGAAACTTCCGGTCCTTGCCTGGCTTGGTGAGCATTATAACCCGGGCTTCCCGCCACCGCCGCGGGAAGTGGTTAAGTCTCAGAGTGGCATTGGCGATGTTGGTGAGCGCAGCAATGCCTTTGGTGGGAAGGTTCTTCAGCATCCTGTTGTTGATGCGGTCCTTTCCCGGCGCTCTTCTGACCTTCAACCTGCGGATGATCAGACGGATTTCCTCTGGACTGGAGGGGTGGTCTGTCTCCTGGCCAGGTGGTCGACTCCTCATGGTTTCGGCTGCGACTTCCACGGCCTCCTCGTGGTTGACGTCCTCATCTTCATGGTAATTGAGTCTGCATTCGGATTCTAGCGAATCGGCGAATGCTTCGGCTTTTTCTACACTGGAATAGGCCAAGCCGCGTTGGCCGTGAAGTGTGGGGATCGTGATTGAAATTTTCGCTGCATAGTCCAGACCGTTTGGATGATATTCCTTTGGACGTTGGATTTGTAGTGATTTCAGTTCGTCCGTTTGGAGGTCAAGCTATCTTGAGTTGCAGACCCTGTGCCCAGCGTTAGTAGGATCGGGTTGTGGTCCGACGATCCTTCCTCCAGGGTCTCTATTTCGAACTCCTCTCTGATGTTGCGAAGGATGGCTATGTCCAGTACCGCAGGTCGCCCATTGCCGAATGGAATGTAGGTTGGTTGCTCCGGACCGACGATGACCCCCGCCAAGGCATCGACGTGTTCTTGGAGCTGCCTTGCATTCCTGTCTTCGACGTTATTGTTCCACGCCGGAGACTTGCAGTTCAGATCTCAGATGACTATGCGTGCTCCTGGGCCTCTCAGGAAATCAGCGATGTCATCTTCGTCTAGGGCCTCCCCTGGTGGCACATAGTGGGAGGTGATTCTGTAGGGACGGTGGTTGTGATGGACCTGGACCGTGACTCCGTCCTCATTCATGTCTGCGGCGTCGTCGAGGACATGACTCCTCAGGGTACGTTTGACGAGTAGTGCGACTCCTCCACCTCTGCCTCTTCTGTCGTAGCGGTACGTCTCGTACTGCGGGAACGTCAGTCTATGGGCGGCATCCAATTTGGTTTCTTGGATCGCCATCACCTCTGGTTGGTACTGATCTAGTATCTCCTGGATTTCTGGTTTCCGTGCCCTGAATCCGTCGATGTCTGCTGGGGCAGAAGTGGACTTTGGTTTCATCGCTTTTTCAGCGTAAGACGTCCTATTTGTGGTGGAGGCTGCTTTCGGGGCGGCAGCAGCTTTCTTCGGGGCCTTACTACATCCTTTGTAGTTGGCGGGGTGGCGTTCTTCACAAAGGCAGCACTTGGCATTTCGTTGCCCTGTTGGCGGCGCTGGCAGACTGTAGCTGGTGCTGCTGTGGTCCTCTCCACACTTCACGCACCGTTCAGCGAGACGGCCGTTCCGCTGTGTGTGCCCGTACCTCTGAAAGCGGTAGCATTGGCTGGGCTCGGTAGATTTGTTCTTTCTCTCGAAGCTGACCGTGAGCATGGCCAGCCTCTGGATCTCTAGAAGCTTTTCTGGCATCTTCGTCTTGAAGAGGAAGAGCGAAAGTGGCTTCTTTGTGGTCCTGGAGGTCATCTGTTGAACCTCGGCGTCTTACACACCCTGGTTCACTAGATCTTCCTTGATGTCCTCAGTCGACATCTCCCTGGGTAGTCCTCGTACTACCCTCTGGTCCATCTTGTCCTCCTTCAACTGGTACGTGAAGAAGGGCCGCTTCATAGAGTCCAGCAGTGCGACTAGCTGACGGTAGTCAGCTGGTGTGTTTGTGGACACCTTCACACTGTTACCCGCCGTCCTCGCCTTGGAGAATTGGATCCTCTCATTGTTGATCATCCTGCTTAAGGATAACCAGTCAGCGGAGCCCTCGATGCTGATGGGGGGAACTCCAGTTCCCGACATGGGGGCACGATGATCCTGGCTGCTCTAGGACTCTTCTTGGTGGCAGCTGGCAGCTTTGGCTGCCTTGGAGACTCGTCTTCGGAGGAGGAAATTTGCACTCGCTTCCTCCGTCTGGTGGGGACACTGAAATGTTGTCGTCGTTGTTTGCTGTCCTGGTCCTATCCTCTTCGGTCTGTTGGGTGTCCTCTTCTTGCGCGTCCATCTCCTTGTCAGACGTAGCCTGGTGGTCCTCGTCCTCGTCTTCTCCGGTCTTCGTTGCGGCCTTCTTCTTGCCCCTGGTGAGCTTCCCGTTGATGTCCTCAATCTCCTGTTGTGCCTGCAAGAAGGCTTCTTGCAGGTTCCTCATCTGCTCTGCCAGCATGGCGAAAGCATCCTTCTTCTCTTTCAGCTGGTTAGCCAGCTTCTCAATTTTCACCATCGTAGATGGCAAACAACCAATCTATCGCAATGAAAATCGCAATAAGATTGCTCAATATGTCCGTGTGGGTCGCAGTCGTGCAAGTGTACACTCGCAACGGCTGCCAGCTCGGATCTGACAACTTACAGCCCAGACCTCCAGTAATGCCATCTCTGAAGCAGATCTTACATCACATCAAAGCCAAACATTGATAACTGAAGCCACATTGCGTTTAGGCAACACGTACAACTACAAAACGATTTCACAACGTGTCCATCAGTTAGTGCTAAGTTAACATCTTGTAGAAAAACCTACATAATGTCAAAAGAAACAATACAATGACAAAAAAAATCGACATAATGTCACTTTTCAAGATACGTATGGGAAGACCATTACCCCTTTTACTCCATCCTTCAAAGACTCCAGCGGCACTTCGGCATGCGGTGAAGAAGCCTGCTTTAAGATACCTAAATACAAATCGTTTTTAACATTTTTTCAACGGTTGGATTAATCTGAAATGTTGGTCAATTACTTACCTAACCCTAAGAGACCTGTATATAAAAAATTGTTATAATACATTTGTTACTATTGTGTGTTCTTTCTATGCCACAGTTTATTTGATTTCCATCTTAATGCCTATTATTATTAAAAATTGGCAAAATGCTGATAAAATGAATGATTATAGCGTATTGTTATCCTGGAAATCGTTCAGCAAAACAGTAATAATTTTGGCTTATAAAGTGCGAAAACTCGTCTCCTTTGCCAACAAGAATTGTGCACAATTACGTTGTGTTACACTTGCACCTCTGAGATGGAACGTGTCTAAAGCGCTTAGCTCAATGAATTATTAGCGTTCCTTTTATTCTGTCTTCTCCGCCCAAAGAAGGCACGGACTAAGTTTTTTTCTTGGACGCAAAAATGCCCATTTAAAAGTCTCTTTCTATCTGGTTTTTCAGACTCTTGAAGCTTTACGCTTTAATCTAGGTAGATGACGGTTTGAGTGTAGCTCATGAGATCAAGTAGGTAAGATGAAATGTTTTTGTTTTCAACCCCACTTTATAGGACTTCACATATATTACTTAGTTACTCCTGTTATTTGTATCCCGCAAGCCAGATTGTAGTGGCTCCAAGCTTTTATACATTTTTTTATCTAGAGCCTGGTCTAGAGTCAAATCTACTGGGTATTTCACAACTTATCCGAAAAAGTTTAACCACATATGCACTGTTATGGAAGAAGTTGACTTCTCAAAAAAAAAGTTAACAAAAGTCCTACAGAAATTAAGTTATAAACTCAAGTTTCAATAATCAATTGAAAAATAAATATCTGCATTTTGCGTTCATCGTCGTGATATTAAAACACGCATTAATAATTTATTGTAGCAGATGTTGTACCAAACAACTGAGGAAAACAAAATACCAGAAATTTTTTGTTTTGCCACTGACAAGAATGTGTAAATAAGGTTTAATCTGTATCGTAGGTGATCTGAATGAAAAATGGCGGATTTTTGTGAAGTAGAATAAGAAAGTATTTTACGAGTTTATGTTTTTAGTTATTTATTAATAAAAATTGCACATGTGTACACTAATGAGGAGTTAGTGGACATTGTTTTAACGTTCGGAGAAGCAGGGCAAAATTCGCGAACGGCTTCCCTCTTGTATGCAAACCGATTTCCGAATAGGCACATACCACATTTAGTTCAATTGTTTTACGTGCACGTGCTAGTGGAAATTGGCGCCCCAGACGTGGAGTGGATGGGGGTCGGGTTCGCTCACAACGCGTCTCAAATGCTTAAGACGAAATTTTGGATATTGTGGAAGAAAATCTTGAGACAAGCACAAGGCAGTTAGCCCAACAGGTCCCAGAAGTGTCACATGCAACAGGGTGGCGCATATTACATGAGACCTAACTGTACCCTTATCACGTCCAGAGAGCCCAGGCGTTGCTACCTACATACTATCCCATAAGAGTAAGATATTCTGAGTGGTTGTTGCAAGAAAGTGCTCGAAATGCCCATTTTAAAGAGCTGAAATTTTTTTCCACCAATGAAGCTATTTTTACTCGTAATAGGATAACCAATATTCATAATTCACACGTTTGCTCCTTTGAGAATCTTTACGCAGTGGTCCAACATCGTTTTTCTTTAAACGTGTGGCAGGTATTGTCGATGAACGTCTAATTGGACCGTTCATACTGCCAGATCGGATGGACGGTCACCAGTATTTGGAATGACCTTGAAGATGTGCCATTGGCGGTCCGAGCACGGATGTGGTTTCTGCACGATGGGGCACCTCCGCATTTTCGTTTAGAAGCTCGTGATTTTTTGAATCAGGTATACGAGATACGCTGAATCGGAAGGGGTGGACCAATTGCATGGCCTCCACGGTCTCCCGATCTAAATCCTCTGTACTTCTTTTTATGGGGATACTTGAAAAACGAGGTATACCGTACTCCAGTTCAGAATACTGAAGAATTGCGTGACCGAGTCACAGTTTCTGCCGATAATTTGATCCTTTAGGCACAGCAGGAAGGAGGTGTATTTGAATTAGTGCGCCGAAATTGGAATGGACGCTTTTATAAGTAAGTAAACTGTTAAACAGTATTATTTTATTATCCCGATTTCTGTTTTACTTTCATTACATTTTTTTTTTCGAGAAATCAACTTCTTTCGTAACAGTGCATATGTGGTTAAAATTTGTCGGATAAGTTGTGAAACACCCTATATAGTAGGATGGATATTTCGCACCGCATCTAAAGTTAGCCATTGTAACATTGTTGGAGTGTGGTTAGGAAGGAATAATAAGGGTGGAATTCACCAGGATTGTCAAATCAACAGTCCGTTATTCTCCACCTATAGTGTAACAGTCCGTCAAATACATGTTCCAATCGACAAATTTTAGCAACCAATAGCTATGAAATGTTGAAAACAAAATACTGTCCAAGTATGAGTTGACAGCTTCTTGTCATTGAAACATCCCCAGCTTATTGAATATTAACAAATTACATATCATTTAATCATAATTCAAAAAAGTGTTCGATTTTTTAATAAAATTCATGTTTTTATTTAATATTGTCGATTGTTTATTCATGTTTATATTATTTTCTACAATTGATATGCAGTTTTACTGATTCCTGACACTTATCGTGTGTTTTTTACCCATAAACCTCTTACAGATAGCCATTAAGCACCTACTTGATGACAGGCTCTACCAAAAATTTCATAGATATTGCTCGTTTCCAAACATTCATTCATTTACTTGCCGTTCATCAGTATCATTATAGCACCATCGATTGATATTCCCACAAAACCATTAAGGATTTTTGATATCCATACATCCATGGTCAAATATTTTTTGGTTGTTCAGGAACTGATCAAACATACTTACAGCGATTAAGAAATACCCAAATATATGTCGTATAGCTACCGGCAAACCTAAAACCTGCAAAAAAACTAGAATTTGCAATAACTTTCTTGTTTCACTGAGTACACATCCTAGGTTATATTTATATTAGACATTATTTGAATAACAGCTGATTATTAAATTTCAAAACTCCCCGACAAGTGACACATGTGTGGGATCCGTCAACGTCAACCCTTAGTCCCAGTGCAGTAAGCTCCGCCAACTGTTGAATTATACTCTACTATGCTTTATAAGACTATACTCAGAATTTTTCCCAAAAACGTTGCATAACACTTGAAAAAATGCAAATGAAAATTTAAAATTATTTCCATGACGCCGCAAAATAGCTCCGTCGGTACCTCTTGACAGTAGGGATGTTCGATACGATCCGATATTTAGAAGTATCAATACATTTCACGAGTATCGTCATCTTTCGATCAGGACTGTATCAGAAAGAGTGACTACCTTCAGATTACTTTTCTTCTTTGTTTCCTTCCGCTGGATATCGATAACTTTATTCCAATATTTTAGAGTATTGATACTTCCTAAAACGATAAGAATCGATACATAACGATACTTTTTGTGGATCAAAACATTCCTAATCTTGACAGCTTGTCGTTCTTGTCAACTGGGCTGCAGGATGCGGTGTTGCCTCTACTATCTTACATTTTGCTAAAACCTTATGACAAATAAAAGCTTCAAATGAAATTTTGACGAATATGAACGGATATGCATAGAATTTAGAATATAAATTCATATTTCAAATTTCAGATTGTCTATGCATGGACTTTAACCGGATTTTTCGTTATTTCTACCAAAAAGAGAATATTTACCGCTAATATCATTCTCCATGATTTTTCAAAATAATTTAAATATTTCTATACTTGCCGAGAAAGAGCTGAAACCAAAAATAAAGCTAAACGTTAATTTTATGTAGTCTTCATAGTTTTATGCTCCATATCAATCATACATATGCATACACACTCAGGCAGTCGGGCACATGGTAGGCGTAGATTTGGGTTGCCTATGATTACGAACGCACATCCTCATCCCTTACTCCGCTTGCCCTGAATTGATTTTTGTGGATACAAAAGGTTCAGACTGGTAGATTACCGTCATTACCTCATCACCGACCAAGCAATAAAGGAACCGAAACCTGCCTGTTTTCAAAACAAACATTTAATTAAAATGAGAGGTGAGTTCA